GCCACTGCTCTTTCAGCATGGCTGATATGAAGTGGCCTACTTAGACAAATCGACGGAAAACACAGATAGAAAGCAATATGAAACACGAATATATACATGGAGTATGCAAGCGGTAGGTACAGACAAAAAGGTAAGCAGTGCAGCAGCTGACCTAACTCCCGGAATGAGAATTTTAGGTTTGAGTTTTAATTAAATAAATGAAAATGGTGGTGTTTTTAATGGAAAAAGGCAAAAAGCCATCAAAATAGAGATTGTAGAGTTTTGCAGGGGCAATGCCTTTCCATAATTTATAGGTTATCTATCACTATCGTTGCAGTTTCGTAACGATAGTAATGATATATATAATCAGTCCTGAAATCTAACCACAAAACCTAATAAACATGAATAAAAATAAAATTTGTGCCAAGTTCTTTTGTTATCAGTTACAAACATAAAAATCTCCGTAGATCTAAAGTATCGGTATTAGAACTGAGAAAACAAGCCAACTTTGTACAAAAAAAAAAACCCATAGAGGGCACCAGACAATGACATGATTTATGACAAAAATCTCCGTTACTATGCTTTCGTTTTTCAACATTAGTGCCCGGTATTGGTATAATGGGAAAAAATATTTAGTGCATGCTTTTCTTTCCGACGATACCACATAATCCTATGTTTGACCATTTGCATCCGTCATCTGCCAGTTTTCTTGTTCAGTATAAAATTCAGAGTCGGAAAAACGTTGCCATACATTAATATGAATTGCGAACATAATGACATAAGCCAAAGCACTATCTGCCATTCTTCCACTTTCAAGTAAAGTGTAATCCTCCAGTCATCCAATCTACTTGTTTCAGGATTTCCAAAAACTTTCCCCACTTCACTCTTATAACATATTTTTCAGACATAACACTTTGTAATTCATACATTTTGCAGGCAGCAACGAATACAAGAATATGACGGGTGTGGCAGTCCCGTTCAGTCAGTTTTAAAACTTGTTACTGTTTCATTCATTTTTACCAGTTTCAAAATTGGTAATATGTTTTTGAAGTTCTGACGAAATAAACAGAATAAACGACTTCGTCAATACCACGTTCAGTTACTCATTATGATGAATAATTTTTATTATTCTGTATTTTTAAACTACATGTATCAGGAAATAACATTTGGATTACAAGCTTAAATGGGAGCATAAGCCGTTTCCTAAACATTCAATTGCGTCACTTTCCTTCCAGAACATTTAACAGTATCATCATACACACATTTAAAGACTAAAGGGTGGGCAGTACAACAAAAATATAATACATACAAGCAATCCAGCCTTCCAATGTGTTCTCATAGTCGCCATGTATATAAAAGTACAAGGTCCGACTAAACTACAGCATTATTTTTTTTTTATCCCTGAACATGTTAAACATACACTGAGTCATGCAGACGATTTGTATCGTCTTGAATATAAAATTCTTTACAAACATGAAGTAGGCCTATAATGACTTAAAGGTCACCTGACTTAACAATGCTTTATAATTGGTCCATCTTTTGAAAAGTAGATTAGGACAGGAAATGCTACCTCTGCACTTTTAATAAATTATTACAATGGTCCTATTGTACATGCCGGAACCAGGTGAATCACGTTGTGTGGTATAAATATAAACATAAATTTACGTATAAAGCATATCTAAGGCTATATAAAGAATAGGATTTTAGAATACCTTTTATTATGCAAAAAAAGTAGGTTTAGTTAGAAGTAGCACTTTAATACACACAAGCTTTTGTTAATAAACATCACTAGTCTGTAAAGAGACTTATTAAAAGAGAGATTGAGATTTTGTGTGCAGTACACTTGTGAATATTATTGGGAGTTAAAATGCAATCCATATTACGATCAGAAAAAAAGAAAACGTGTATAATAAAGAGCCAATTTAAACAATATAGCATGTAAATTAAAATATATTTTTAGTATATAGCTTAAGAAATTTGATCTTATAAATAGCAGTACAGTACTTCAGTCTTGTCAGCATAACCTGCCTTCGTACTTCTCGCACAATTCATATTTTGAATATCCTTCACACGACTCCAGAAACGTTTTTTTTTTTTTTAACATATTTAAATATGTTTTTCAAATTAACAATTTGGTTTAAATGTTTTAAAAAGTTTTTATGATCGAACAATTCATTTTTGAAAACTTACTGAAACGTGTTCAACATCATGTAAAATGCATTGAATATGGGGCTACTGGGCCTAGGATACTGTAGTATCACTTATGATTGAAAGATTATCAATTTCAGGACTACTTTATTTCATTATATACATCTGCCATAAACTCCTAGAATTTTAGTATTTAATATTTCATACTCAAATATCAACCAGATGATCGAGAGGTACTTTTGGTTTCACAAAGGATTAGTGACAACACATGGGCTCCATTATACTCAATACCAATACCAGAATGTTATTTCAATCATATGCCAATCAATTCAACAAAGCATAGTTTAAAATGCTATTCTCACGGGTTAACCTTTTAGTGGGCGTGTCTACAAGAACAGTACATCTAAACTGTCAATGGATGTGTCAATGTAAAGTGCTGTATTGCAGCCAAGTTCTGTACATTCAACCTGCCAGTGGGAGCGTCTATATGTAAATTAGTTGAGGTGCTGTATTGCAGCCAATCACAGTACACTCACAGTGGAAGTGTCTATATGTTAATGAGTTAAGTTGCCGTATCGCAGTCAAACTAAACTGTCAATGGGTGTGTCTATATGTAAAATAGTTTAGATGCTGTATTACAGCCAATCACAGTACAGTACATTAAAACTGTCAGCAGGCGTGTGTATATGCAAATGAGTCGGTGCTGTATTGCAGCCAATCACAGTACATCCTAACTGTCAGTGGGCATGTCTAGAAGAAAATTAGTCGGGGTGCTGTACTGCAGCCAATCACAGCACATTCAAACTATCAGTGGGCGTGTCTACAAGTAAATGAGTTGGTGCTGTATTGCAGCCAATCACAGTACAATAAAACTGTCAGTGGGTTTGTCTATATGTAAATTAGTTGAGGTGCTGTATTGCAGCCAATCACAAAACAATAAAACTGTAAGTGTGTTTGTCTATATGTAAATTAGTTGAGGTGCTGTATTGCAGCCAATCACAAAACAATAAAACTGTAAGTGGGCATGTCTGTATGTAAATTGCAATGATGCAGCCACTGGGCATGTCTGTAAGCCCGAGTGCTGTATTAGACAGCCAATCACATTATATTTAAATATTTCCTGCATGTGCCTTGATGTTAAATGAGCCCGGGTAATGTATCACCGACACTGACTCCCAAAGCCACAAACAATTTTTCAAAACCGTCATAGAAAATTAATGTGGGCTCAATATAAATGATGATGTCAACTCGTGAGAATACACTTTAAAGAAAATGTTGGTTTTATTGGAGCTGTCTATCAACAAAACTGGATAAACATTGGTTGCTCTCATCAACGGAATTGGATGATTCCTGCATCTTGCAATTTGTACAATTTCCTGGCAATATCTGGGTTGCTCATGTGACTGAAAGACGAAAAAAAAACAATAAATAACATAATAAATACAGTTTTATCTGTTGTGGAGAAGTGGTAGGGCACCAGGCTTGTAATCACAGCATAAGGGGTTCAATTCCTATTCTGCTCATATTGTGTCCTTTGCTAATGGACATTTCATAAACATTCTTTCTGCCTTACTAAAGTAGGATGTGAATAATGAATGCACTACTGTTCACATAAAAAAAATTGGGAGTGGGCAGGGAGAATGATCATACCCATTTTTGATTCACATAAACAAAATTCTAAAGCTGTTTGCCCTGAACTCTACCCATATCTTGAAACTCTTATATCCACACCTGGTAAAAATTTAAAATGCTTAAAAGGCTTTCTGCTATTGTTAAAGTACTTCAGGGCGGGGTCATGCTGTTAACCTGCACGTGGTGACCCTGCTACGACTGTTCCAGTCAATTGATAACAGCAACTAGAATCCATTATTCGTGATTAATCGCTGAAGAAAACTAAATTAACACCTGTGTAGCTCCTGTGATTATTGATTCACACAAACGAACGAACGAGGGCAAAGATCCAATATACAGGTTTAATGTCTAAAGTGAACGGATAATGGCATAAAGAAACACTCCTTATTATCACCTGTTAAATATGTAAATGTTTGAGAGTAATCCCATAATTTACAGAAACAAGCATTTGATTGGTCAGTCAGACTTACTTTTGAATAGCACCTGGATTCTGGGACATCTGCTCCAGGATCATCCTCATTCCTGGATCGCTCATTATGGCTTGGACCTCAGGATCTGCCATTGCCCGCTTCTTCACTTCTTCCGGATTCTTATTGATCTCCTGCCTACAAGTAATTAGCATATTCATTGCTTCCTGTTGATAAAAAAAATAAGAATATTGTATTGATTACTTTCAGGAGAATCATTGAATTCCAACTCTGAAGGAAAACAATTTTTTGATACGTTGTAGAACTGATTTTGCTAAGACAGAAAAAAGTTGTTTGACGAAAAAAATGTCAATGTTTAGGTACGGCTCTACATGTGTTGATTCAAACATTAGTTTCGGCACTTCATACCCATTTTTATGCCCAGTGCTGAGGTAAATCATCATAAATAAGCTTGAGGGAGCTATATACAAAGATAATCTTCACATATGCTACCTATGGTTTACGAGTAAGACTCCTATTTAGAATTTACTTCTACGTAGTATACACAGATTATAATTGTTAATGATGAAACTGTTATACCTGGTTGAATACTGATGAATAAACAAATAAAAAAAACAAATAAACAAATAAATATTACATGATTGTTGCTGGCTACATCAAGTGCTTGTTCCCATTGCTTCATAACATAAACAAATAAACAAATGAACAAACAACTGACCAAACAAATACACAAATAAATAAATATTACCTGATTACTGCTGTCCACATCAAGCCCTTTCTGCAGTGCTGACTGAGCCTGTGCCCACTGTTTCATAGCCATTAAGTTTCTTCCTTTATGGATGTACCCTTTGACTTAAAATAAAAAAATAAAAAAAATTTGAAAGAATGACATGATGAAGTATGTGGTTTGGCACAGCAGGAATGCTGTCCCCACCTTGAGGTCGGGGTTTCAATTCCTTGATGTGCATTTTACTCTTGCCCTTGAGCATTTTACTCGTGTCCTCCGATGGATTTACTCTTTCCGCCATCTTTAAATGCCAGATCATAACATAGTGTATTTGCCCCCAAAGGGGGCACAGACACAAAAACTGTTGTGTTGCCCAGCTCTGACTGACAGAAAAATCTATTCCGCTATATTTATGAAATTATGGTTCTTGTGAACGCACTTTACTAGATGTGTGCTGATGTCATATGTACATCATTCGATAACAGTTTAGGGGCAAGATTTATGTATTTTATCAATAAAAAAACCTTGTCTGAATGAAAATAGGATTAGAATGATTCCAATATATGCCCCACTATTACCGCATTATACCTAAATAATTGAATTTATATCAAATTTCTTTTGATAATTTTCCTAACAAGATGCAAAAATTAAAATGATGCCTTACTGAATTGTGGATCTAACCGTATACATTCGTCGGCGTCTTTGACAGCCCGGTTAAACTCAAGAAGCTTGTTGTATGTTGCAGCTCGATTACTATATATCTTTGCGTCATCTGGATTGCGTTTAATCGCCTCATCGTAACATTTGAGGGCATTGGGAAAATCAGCTGAAAAAAAAAAACGCATTTTACAATAAACTTGACGATTAGCAATTTAGATCTTATGTTCAAGACAAAAACAATTATTGCAATAAAAATGATAAAAGTACAATACATAGCCTAAAAGAAAATAACACCTACATACTGCAGTACGTATATAAAACATTATCTATTATTTCTTCAGCTTTATAGTGCAAATGGGTGTAATATGTTCCCCCAACTGTTCCTTACCTCTGCTCTTACCCCTTATACATCTGATTATTTACCTTTCTGGTAGAACTCATTGCCTTTGTTTTTTTCTTCCAATGACAGTTCTGGGTTAATATATGCCTTCCGCTCTAGTTCTTTCAGAGTCCTCTCACACTGGAATTAATTATGAAAGTAAACAAAATAACTATAAATTACATAAAAACTCTCATTATTAATTAACTAACTAAATAATCTTGTCTTATTAAAACAAGTAAACTTTTGGTACACAAGTTATTTGGAGGTGGTTTGGCGCTTCAATCCTCCTCTGTGCATTTCGCCTGTGTCCTTGGGCAAGGCAAATTATCTATACTACTTCAGTCTACTCAACTGCATTAATGTGTACCAGCAGCAGCAAATTGGTGGGAGTAAGTTGTGAACCAGTGCGCAACCCAGGGAGAGCATCACACTTTCATCTCCTTCACAGTACTTGAAACTGGGGATAAGCTAACGCATATATGAGCCCTGTGACTCAGCAAAGATTTACTTTTTACATAAGTTCAGTCACAAAAATGTTCAACCTCCGCCACAGCCATGTTGAGGCGGAGGTGGTCTGGACACTCTATCAATAAGAGTCCGTCTATGGGGTCCTCTATAATTACAAAAAAATACCCCAAGGATTGCTAATAGCAAACCTAATCACCGTCTTTGGCAATCTCTATCACATGAAAAACATAAACACATAGCTTAGGGAGTGGAGCCGAATTTTTTTGTCATGAAAAACAAAATCCTGTCTCTCAGCAGGACTCGAACCCCGGACACCTTAGCTTCCCAAACCATAATCAATTAACAATACTCACCTCTTGTTTTTTCTTTAAAATGTCATCACTCCTATGTTCAGTCAAAGACTTCTTGAAGTATTCTAAGGCCTCTTTATAGTCTTTTTCTTTCAGGTATGCATTTCCAATTCTACCAAAAGCCCTACAATAGAAATATAATAATATTTAACACCATGAATTCACATGAATTTGCAAGGGACTGGTTAGTTTATAGGCGATTTTCTATAGTTAATATATTTTGTTTAAACAAAAAAAAAACTAGCAAAGACATTCATATATAATTATATTAAAATTATATAAAAATAATAACAATAAAAAAAAACAACAGAAATTAATATGACAATAATTATTATTAATTAACCCATGAAAATAAAATAAAATTACTTTGCAATATTTTTAAATGGAGCTTTGTTTTCTCTTCCAACTTCAGTAGCTTTCAAGCAGTCTTTCCGACAAGCATCATAATCCTTCTTCTCAAAGTAAACAGCTGTTGTAAGAAAGAGAAAATACTATTATGCATATAATATAATTCACTACTTCACCTCAAATGTTGTATTCGTATAATACGATACACACAAGAGCTACCGTATCCGCACATGTAAAGAATGCATATCAGTACAAGGAGGTAGCTCTTGTAAAAATTGGGCTTAAGACTTCCTTCCTATTAATTACAGACAGTTGATTAAAATAAGAGCACAAGCGAGGAAGAAGCCAATTAAACCCTTGACAACTTTTCCCAATTAACTGAAACTGGGAAGTAGTTATTGCAACAGCAAGGGCCTAAGACTGAGAGAAGTTACTCTATAGCTATTTGGACCTGCCGCAAAGCAAAACACTAGTATTATAAAGGAAAGCGAGAATACGTACCAGCACGGTTGGTTAAGAATGTCATCTCTTCAGGATCCAACTCAATAGCTTGCGAGTACAAATCGATAGCCGTATCAAATTCTTTTTTCTTATAGGCAGCGTTGCCTTCGTTTTTCAGATCTAGCGCCTACAAAGGAAACCACAACGTAAATGACAGATATGTTTGCTACTGTGATCAGCTTAGGAGCTGGCAACAAAATCATGTACCCATTTACACTCCTGGGTGGAGCGAAGCAATCTATTTTTCTATTCCTGCAATATCCCTAAATAAAAAACATTAAAGATTTATTATTTAAATACAAACTAAAATCATAACAACTTACTTTCTTTTTGTTTGGGTCTAGATTCTTCTCTTCTGTTTCCATCTTTTCTGGTTCTTTTGGCTTCTGTTGCTTTGGGGCTGATGATGTCTTAGTGTCATCGGCCATGTCGGCATCTGCTGCAAGCTTCAAATCAACTCCAAGTAGAACACTCAGGGTTTTCATAACCCGCGGATCTTGTAATCTCCTTGAAGTTTAAGAAAACATTTGCACGATTGCGAGATATACATAGATTTTTTAACAGTATTTAAAAAAAAGGTTCCCGGCAGGAGCATGTGTCTATGCCCTACCGTAAATGCTTGAATAGCGCCGCGACGTTTATAAAATAATTGGAGGCTTCAGTACAGCGTTTATTCAAGGGTGGTACTTATTCGAGAGCGGTGGTTATAAAAAACGTCAGCGTGGCACTTTCCATGTCCATTCCCATGTTACCTATTTCACATATTCCTGTAGTTCGGTAGGCCTATCATAGATCTTACGTCATCGTAAATAAACGTTTATAAAGTAATGTTTGTGTCTTCATTGTGTTACTTATTCATTTTAACACCGTATACATTGTATTTAAAACCCTGTTTCTCAAAGTGTTACATTACAATCACACAGGGCAACATATGTTCTCTCGATTAAGCGCAGCGGCGCTTATTCGAGAGAGGTGCTTAGTAAAAAAAAATCATGTTTGGTGCGACGTTTATTCGAGAGTGGCCGTTATTCGAGCATATACGGTATACTGTCTTACTGTATTATGTTTACTGATAAAGTATCCACATAGGATACAGTTATCAAGAAATATGTGGTGTATTTTGTTATGACTTTTGTACAGCAATAAGATAATTAAAATGACACATGACCCATCATGCACCTCCACCGGATTTACACTTTCCACCATCTTTAACTTTCAGACCATAATATAGTGCTTTTTCCCCCCGAGGCAGCATAGACACAAAAACCAAAACAACAAGAAAACGGGTATGTGCAGAACTCTCAATCAGTATGGACACATATATTTACACACTGCATACTATGTTCACACAGTGCAGTAACAAAGCAAAATGAACAAGTGACTGTGTGATGGCATCAGATGAGGTGGAAAAAAAAAATATGGTAAATCGTAACTCAAGCATATTTACTGTATTACCCACATAAATGTCTATATTGTACACTGAATTATTAATATATAAAAATTGAATTGACATACATTCCGATCGAATTGGGATCCTTTTTCAGTGAGGCCAACAACATTTGATATGATGGATCTTTCAACCATTCCCTGGTGTCCGGATCAGCTAGTAGTTTCGCTTCAACTCCAGGCATGGTGAATGGATTTGACATTGGGTTAGCTCCGGCTGTTGAAGCTATAAGAAGGATAATTGATGAAATTACATATGTATTTGTATATGCACGTGTATACAGTAT